GCAAAGGAAACCATCCCCGCGCAAGTCGAAGCCGTCTACCGTGACATCAACTCCATGATTGACACTCTTGGTCTGAACGCTCGATCGTTGGCAAGCTTCATCGTAGGACACGATGTTGGCTTCAAGCAGGGTGGTCGCCGCAAGGAAGACCTTGAAAACCCCGAAGACTGGGTCTTGTCTGAGATCGACGAGCTCGGCGAGGTCATCGACAGATCTCTCGCCCGGGACCTAGAATATGGCCGTGTTCAAGATGTAGAGGAGAAGCTGGAGGCTTGCAACGAACTTGCGCGTGAGATGTCCCGCCTGCGGTCGAAGCAGGACGACCTCAAGAAGATTATGATGGTCAGACTCGATCCCGACCAGGCCGACATCAGCCGCTCCTTACCTTTGAGCGCCGAACAAGCTGCTCAGCAGAACGAGTTGCGTCGTGAGTATGCCAACTTCTCCAAACTCCTCGCCGAGGTGGAGGAAGCCTTGACGCTTCTTAAGACCAAGCTCGCATCAGTAAGCAGTGCGTCTGGCAAGGGCAACTCCAATGTCCCCACCGTCGAGGCCGTCATGCGCACCATCAACAAGATGACCAGCATGGTCGAGAAGCGATCTGGCGACATTGACGTTCTCGAGAACCAGATGCGGAAGCTGCGCTTCTCGTCGGTTAACAGCCGCGAGGGCTCTCCGATGGCCACCCCTCAGAGGAACAGCAGGTCGCTAATTTTCTCCCCCGAGCGTATGGCCACGGCGTCGCCCGGCACTCTCCGCAACTCCCTTGTATCCTCGGTCGCTTCATACGGCGTCCGTGGCACTCCTCCCCGCAAGAAGCTGTCTGGCTTCAGCCAAGATGAGAAGTCAGAATTGATGGCGAAACGGGCCAAGAGACAGGCTGTCTTGAACAAGCTCAAGGCAAATGTCGAGAGGGCCGGCGTGAGTGTGTGGACCCTAGAGGATGCGGAGTAGAGCATTGTTAGACATACCTAGATTGGGAAGAACAACGCTCGGCGCGTACGGGACTAATGAAGCAATGGCATATGGGAATGGAGAGCGCAGATAGTGTATATCATAATGTACAATGGAACCAGCAGTATATGCAGCCCGATCTAGCCTTGTCAAGTGGTATGTTAGACTCTAATCGGCCAGTGTGAGCCTGAGAACGGAAGTATCATGTATCCTTATCATTGCAGTCGACACATAGCTGCTCATGTGTCTGTATCGTGTCTCTTGTGAAGGTTGAGCTGCTGACGGCTTCTTCGAGTTGGTACGATAGCTCCACGCATGTTACATTCAAAAGTAACCGTCACACAAAGTCAGCCTTGTGAATGGTTGCCTCCACGGTTTATGTCGTGTCACTACCCGGGTTCGAGATGTAAACCTTTTCTGAGCCGATGAAATGATGCAATTGTGAGATCGCGGTCAGTCACGCACGTAGGATCTCAGTTGGACAGTACATGACAAGGCGAATCAACGTAGGACGTGAAACGTTTGGAGAAACCGTCTAGCCAGACAGCAATGGTCATAACAATGTGCACCATGGGAATGTTGTCGTCATGTCCGTAATGTTGCGATAGAAGTATTGGAGAATGGTGGTCAGTCTAGGCATTGTCCCAGCGAGTCGAATCCATATCTTTGGGGTCTTCCGCAGATACTCATGCTTATTACACAAGCTTCGTAACAAGCGTCCTCGGTATCTTGAAGCGACGTGCATCTAGTGTTTTGACCTACGTGCAAGACCTAAAGTAGTTATGGGTACACATGGGCATGACCTCGGGATGATTGAGGAGGTTCTTGGGCGTGTTTAAGTGGATGCACAAGGAATGAGCGCGGACTGGTCCACTTAAATTTTGGGGGGCAAGGGTGTTAATTGCTCACCTACAGTGCCCAAGCACGAGACTGCGCGCCCTGTACCCCAGCGCAGCGCGAGGACCCCGCGACTTGGGCGCGTCATCCACTTTTTGATTCCATTGACCTCAAGATTCTTAGAATTCAACACCGAACCCTTGGCAGTTGCCAGTCCCCAACAACGTCGTCGCTCCTCTAAGAGCAGGTCAAGCAACCTCGACTGAGCACATGAAATCGCCTTGAAGAGCATTCGAGCAGCAAACCTACTTTCCAACCAAAGTGGCAAGATGGGCCCACCGTCGTCGGCAGCTCGAAAGCGGCCTACCGCCACTCCGAAGAAGAACTTCACCAAGGTTCCGCCTTCGAAAAAGCCTGCGAGGCCAAATGCCAGCATCCTTAGCTTCTTTCAAAAGGCCGAAAAGCCTGAGCAGACCCTTTTTCTGGATGGTCAAGAGAAGCTAGTGGTCCAAGCCGCCGACGACGACGATGAGCCAAACATCTACGACGCCGAGCCATGGGAGGAGGAGAGATTCAACGAGGTAGAGTCCTCGGTCAAGAAGAGAAGGTTGAGTCAAGAAGAAAACCAAAAAGATACAGAGCGGTCGAGTCCGAAAGCGTCCAAGAGTCCCGTCGCCTCCGAACCCGCACCATCGTCACCTACAGAGGCAAAGCCAACCAAGAAGGCGCCAGGAAAGCGCAAGGGCCCTTTTTTGGACGAATCTGATAGCGAAGAGGGAGAGGATGCAGACGATACTTCCAAGAAGCCACTTTTTCTCAGCGCAATCCGTAACACGGTGCCCATCACGGCCCCCATCAAAATGGAAGAGGAGGATGCGACGCCACCCGCGAAGGAGACGAGCTGCCCTCCGCCGCCACTGAAGGTTGAGGACTCGATCGACAATGAATTTGCAAATGTTGACGAGTTTGGTGACCTAGACGACTTCCCCGACGACGAAGACTTTGGAGGCGAAGAATATCGAATGATGCAGTTTATGCAGGAGCAAGCCAGGCTGGAAGCCGAAGCAGAAGCTGTAGAAGATGGCGACCATTCTGGTGATGACATTGCCGACCCTGTTCGATCAAGCGACGCCATGGTGGCCAACTGCCCAATATGCGACGGGAGCCTTGCAGGAATTACGCCCGCAGAAGCAACACGACACGTCAACGCCTGTCTCGACGGCAATCCGATACCCCTCCCTCAGCCTAAGCCAGCCAAGAAAGACCAAGTAGCGAAACCCCCGATTCTCGACCCGCCAGAAGTCAATAAGCGCTTTGCCCGCGCAGCCGTTCCGCGAGCTGGCCAAGCCAATCCCTTCAACATAGGGGAGACTGACAACAAGCCCAAATCCGCATTCACAAAGTTGATGTCGGGCCATGCGGAAGATGCGGCTTGGGCAGGAGCTGCTGCGGCAGAGCACTCTGCGCGCGGCAAACCCGCATATCAACGCACATGTCCGTTCTACAAAATCATGCCCGGATTCTACATTTGTGTGGATGCATTCAGGTATGGTGCGGTCAAGGGGTGCAACGCCTACTTCCTGAGCCACTTCCACAGCGACCACTACATTGGGTTGACCGCCAACTGGACCCATGGACCTATCTACTGCAGCAAAGTCACCGGGGACCTCGTGAAGATGCAGTTGCGAGTCGCTGCACATTGGGTTCGGCCACTTGAATTCAACGAGACGGTTGATGTTCCTGGCACCGAGGGTGTCACTGTCACTATGATTTCCGCAAATCACTGCCCTGGGAGCTCCCTATTTCTATTCGAAAAGACAATGGGAAAGGGACCGTCCGCGAGAAAGCAGAGGATATTGCATTGTGGCGACTTCAGAGCTTGTCCAGCTCAAGTTGCGCATCCCTTGCTCAAGCCAGAGGTGCAAGACTCGATCTCGGGAAAGACTAGGCAACAAAAAATTGACGTATGCTATCTCGATACGACCTATCTCAACCCGCGCTACTCTTTCCCTCCCCAGAACGACGTTATTCGGGCATGTGCGGAACTCTGCACATCGCTAGCTCCTGAGCAGAATTCTGAGGACAATGCCTGGGACAGGGTCAATAGGGAGGCAGGTACTGACACAGTCAGCAAGTTTTTCAGCAAAACCAAGATAGATGGCGAAACGACCAAAGCCAAGCCGAGGAATGCCCCCAAGGAACGCCTGCTCGTCATCTGCGGCACGTACTCGATCGGCAAGGAGCGCATCTGCAAAGCCATAGCCCAAGCCCTGGGCAGCAAGATATTTGCTTCCAAGTCCAAAATACGCATCTGTTCCAAGCTTGGAGACCCAGAGCTTACGGCACTCATGACAGACAACCCCCTGGAAGCGCAGGTCCATATGCAAATGCTCATGGAGATCCGAGCCGAGACGTTGCAGGACTATCTCAACTCCTACAAGCCACACTTTAGTCGAATCGTTGGGTTCCGCCCTTCTGGATGGAACTATCGACCACAGGGTGCAGGCAAATCGGTCTCGGCCAACACGCAGCCCGGCACCATTCCTACTACCCAGATTTTACAGGGCAAGGCATGGAGGTCACGTTTTGGGGCCAAGGACTTTGTTGCTCAGCGTGGCAGCACGAAGGAAGCTATGTGCTTTGGGGTGCCATATAGTGAGCACAGCAGTTTCAGGGAGCTGGCAATGTTTCTGATGGCACTGCGGATTGAGAAGGTAGTGCCAACGGTCAATGTCGGGAGCGAAACGTCCAGGAAGAGGATGAAGGGCTGGACTGACAAGTGGTTGGCTGAGCGAAGGAAAGGTGGTTTGATTCGTCCTCTGGAAGGTGATGAGAGTGAATCTAAGGACGTTGTGCTTTGGGACGGAAAGGATAGTCGCGGAGGCGGCGTTTGGTGGTGACCAGTCGCTCGGTGCATAGATAGAATTTAATGAATAATGAGCACAAGGCATCTGCCCCCAAATCGAATCCTTGAAGTGTGGTTCATTTCATGGGTTCTCGGCTGGATATCAAGCTGTTCTACCCTTCCTGCGTCCATATCATCTAGTCGGATTACCCCAGACGCCATGACCCATGTTTAAATACCAAGAGGATTTGAAGCCGTAGCCTTTAGTCCTATCTTTCGTTGGCCGGCTTTTGTAGTGCCCCGACCACGTAATCGTAATTCCTTGGGTTCCATCAAGACTACATCTCCAGCGGTGCTGAAACTTTTATTTTGCCTTTGCTGACTGCGCAGCAGCCTCTGTAGTACGTATTAGCACCACCCTTGCGGCCGCTGCAGGTGAACCGGGGAAAATCATGCGGACTCACCTCTCCGCGTCGCGTCCTCCAGAAGAGGGACATCTACGTGGTTGGCGGGCAGATGGACATAGCGCACGACGGAGCCACGAATGAAAACGTTCTTGACGGAGCTCTGCGAGTCTGTGTTAGCAGGGGTCTGTCATCTGGGAGCATGACTGAGAGTGAAAAGACAAGGCCGAGGCTGAGAAGTGGCCACAGAGGGTGACTGACCAGGTGCGGGTACTTCAGCTCCTCAACGACCGAAATGTCATCTAGCTTAATGTTGAGGTACTGGTCAACACTCTTGAGCGTGCCGCGGATCTGGATGTCGTTCTTGAGCTCGACGGTGACCTCATGGTCTATGAGCGTCTTGAAGAAACTGGCGGGGTCAGCGCGTTAGCTGGCGGCATATTGACGGTTTTGGGGGCGTAAATGATGACAGAAACAGTGTATTTCCTTGTTTGGATGAGTTTCAGGGGCATACCTGAAGAAAAGCATAGTGGGCGGTTGGGTTGGATGCTGGTTTCGATGAGCCGCTCGGTGAGGTCGTGATGCTCGAGCTTGAATGCGAAGGTGTGGGGGGCCTGTACTGTGTACGATACAGTGCATACAGTGTGATTCGGGCGTTGTTTTTGGTGGTCATAGATGCTGAAGTGGCTTATTGGTGTGGCTGGTGGAATCCATATGGAACTTGCGACTGGGTGGCGATTGGCCACTTTCACTGAGTCGGCGAGTCCGTCTAGGGGAAAGAGCAGCCACAACCTGAGAATGACAACCTCATTCATTCGTTCATGAACCTCGTCCGACCTCCTCTCAATTCTCGTTTGATACCCGTCTGGTCTCTGTTCGTCGCTGTGCATGGTTTTCTTGATTAATCGTGACAACGCATCTCGACTGAGTCCTAAGACTGAGCATCCATTATGTCCCTGGCCCGGGTCAGTGAATGGCGAAAGTTGCCCCTGAGTCTGGCAGAGCTTTGCATCGACACAACCCTACGATGCGGCCAGTCTTTTCGATGGCGCAAAATCAATGATGAATGGTGGGCATAAGTTTTGTCAAAAGAAAAGTCTGCAAGCTAAAACTTATACAGGTGCTGCACGCTATACGGGCGCCTCGTCTCACTGAAGCAAGACCCGACTCACCTGCATTACAAAGTGACCTGGCCAAAGAAGCCCGTTTACCCGCTGACGCCGCCCGTTGCTGACGATGAAGCGGATGGCGATGATACGGAGGAGTTGTTGCGACATTACTTGAGTCTGAAATTGGATCTTAAGTCCCTTTACGAGCAGTGGTCTGAAGCAGACCCCAACTTTCGCAAGAGAGCACCAGAGTTTGGAGGGGTTCGCATGTTAAGCCAGGATGCATGGGAAGCGTTGATCTGCTTCATTTGCAGCAGTAATAACAACATCTCGAGGATATCGCAGATGGTATGTTCAGTCATTACACCAGCGAATATCCCCACTAACGGCGCTGTAGGTTCACAAGCTTTGCACACACTATGGCCCGCTTATTGGTCACGTTGGAGATGAAGCCTTTCATGATTTCCCCACGCCAGAAGCTCTCACTGGAACTTCAGTAGAGGCTCACCTGAGGGAGCTAGGTTTCGGTTACAGGGCCAAGTACATTGCGCAGACGGCATCAATCGTGGTGAACGATCGACCCAAGGGCTGGTTCGAAAGCCTGACAAATCCGGAGAACCCGTGTTACCGGAAGACGCCAGAAGGCGCCAAGTTGGCACAGTGCACGTACAAAGAAGCTCACGAGCAGCTTCTCCAGCTATCCGGTGTTGGGCCGAAGGTGGCAGACTGCGTGTGCCTAATGGGTCTGGGCTGGGGTGAGGCCGTGCCGGTCGACACTCATGTGTGGCAAATCGCTCAGCGGGACTACAAATTTGGGAAGGTCAAGACCAAGACATTCAACAAGACCATGTATGATGCAGTTGGAGATCACTTCAGAGGCCTCTGGGGCAAGTACGCTGGATGGGCCCACTCTGTGTTGTTCACGGCCGATTTGAAGACATTCTCTGAGCGCACCGTCAAGAAAGAGGAGGGCCAAGCAGTGACAGTGAAGAAGGAGGTTAAGGTTGAAGAAGATGCGCCGCTGTTAGGCAGGAAACGGAAAGTTGTGAAGACGACTGTTAAGGTCGAGGTTGAGGAAATGACAGAGGCAGCGCCGTTAGAGTCATCGCCAAAGCGGAGGAAGACGAGATCTCAAACAGTCAAGAGAACCTCGAGGTCGGCGTGATGAGTCTCACGATTCTCGGTCTCATTAAATTCAAATTCCCATTTTACCATTTCTCATATCCTCATATCTAAATGGAAATAAGTAAAGGAAAAAAACATTGTTCCCCAATAACGTTATTTGCAGCATTGTTATTGAGCAATATGAATTCCCGAAACAAGACCCATCTAGTAACAGAATAAAAATCAACAAAAGAAGTAAAAAGTGCCGTCATATTTAGATATCTTCGTAGTCGCGATTTTCTGGGTTGTAGCTCCCAGCCTTCCAAGTTCGGGTAAAGCTCGGGTGCAGGTGGCGTCGGAAATTTTGCCTGGTCGTGTACGTACCGCGAAATTGCAAACTCTCTTGCGACTCTTTGCTCCCCTTCCAGCCTCATCAGCAACAAACAACCATCACTGATGAGCTCCGTCATCGCCATTCGACCACTTGCACCTTCACAAGTGACATGAAGCAGCAATACCCATAATTCAAAATGTCTGACGCAGACTTCGAGACCGTCCGGAAGCTCCAGGCGGAGCGCAACGCTGCTGCCGCCGCGAAAAAGGGTTCGCGCAACTCGGACAACCAGCGAGCCGACACCAAGCAGAGCCTCACCGAGAGCTTCGACACCGACCTGTACGATCGCAGCAATGGCGTCGACAAGTTTGCGGGATACAACACGTCCATCCCTACCGGTGACGATGATGACGACGAGATGGAGGGCGCTGACAACACGCGACGCCTCGTCGGCCAGTACACGGCTTCACGTGCCATGATCGACGAGTTCGCCCGTGGTGATGGCGTCGAGGAGGATGACCCCTTGGCAGGCCGGGGCGAGCGCAGCAACCGAATCACCGATCGCGAGACCGACTACCAGAAGCGACGATTCGATCGTGTCCTCACCCCGACTCGAGCCGATGCCTTCGCAGCTAACCGCCAAGCCGGCGCCGCCGAGGAGGGCACTAGCTATCGCGAAGTCATGGCGCTGCGCGAGCTGGAGAGGGAGGAAGAACGCGTCCGCCGCGCCATCCAGGCCAAGGCTGAGGGTCGAGAAGAGGAGGACGGCAACGTGGCCCCGGCGACCTTGAAGGACGGCGATAAGGAAAACGCTGAAGCTGGGTCGACCGAGGCTGTTACGGCAGGCCGCAAGCGAAAGAAGAGATGGGACGTCTCGTCTACGCCAGCCGATGATGAAGCTGCTCCCCAACCTTCGGATCCTGTCAAGTCCAAGCGATCGCGATGGGATCAAACACCAGCTCCCGCCGGCATGGAGATAGACGCGCCCAAGAAGCGATCTCGTTGGGATCAGGCACCATCCGCCACGCCCATGGGAAATCAGGGACTTGCGACACCGATGCATCCCTCACAGTCAGGCAGTGCTGCCCTGCCTACGACCTTCGGAACCGACATCTCTGGCCGCAACATGCCCTTGAGCGACGAGGAACTGGATATGCTTCTCCCCGGCGAGGATCAGGGATACAAGGTTCTTGAGCCGCCTCCGGGATACGCTCCGATACGCGCGCCCGCACACAAGCTTATGGCTACGCCGGCACCGCAGACTGGGTTCATGATGCAGGACCCCGATTCCGTCAGGCTCAGCGGCAAGCCCATGCCGGCCGAGATTCCAGGCATCGGCGATTTGCAATTCTTCAAGGCTGAGGATATGGCGTACTTCGGTAAGCTGACCGACGGTTCTGACGAGAACAGCCTCAGCGTGGAGGAGATGAAGGAGAGAAAGATCATGAGGCTGCTCTTGAAAGTCAAGAACGGTACTCCACCAATGCGTAAAACTGCTCTGAGACAGCTCACCGACAATGCCAGGCAGTTTGGAGCCGGCCCGCTCTTCGATCAGATCCTCCCCTTGCTCATGGAGAAGACGCTGGAGGACCAGGAGCGCCATTTGCTCGTCAAGGTCATCGACCGTATTCTCTACAAGCTAGATGATCTCGTGCGACCGTTCGTCCACAAGATTCTCGTTGTTATCGAGCCGCTGCTCATCGACCAAGACTACTACGCTAGAGTTGAAGGTCGCGAGATTATCTCCAACCTCAGTAAGGCCGCTGGTCTGGCCACGATGATCAGCACAATGAGGCCAGATATTGATCACGTGGATGAATACGTGCGAAACACCACCGCTAGAGCTTTTGCTGTGGTCGCATCAGCACTTGGTATTCCTGCGCTTCTGCCGTTCCTCCGAGCCGTTTGTCGAAGCAAGAAGTCATGGCAAGCCCGTCATACCGGTGTAAAGATCGTTCAGCAAATTCCTATCCTCATGGGTTGTGCTGTTCTGCCACACCTTAAGGGACTGGTGGACTGCATTGGTCCCAACCTTAACGACGAACAGACCAAGGTCAGAACCGTTACCAGTTTGGCAATCGCAGCCCTCGCTGAGGCTTCTAGCCCCTACGGTATCGAGAGTTTCGACGATATTCTTAACCCGTTGTGGACTGGAGCGCGCAAGCAGCGTGGCAAGGGTTTGGCCGGTTTCCTCAAGGCTGTGGGTTACATCATCCCGCTTATGGACGAAGAATACGCCAACTACTATACCAGTCAAATCATGGAGATCTTGCTCCGCGAGTTCTCGTCCCCAGATGAGGAGATGAAGAAGGTTGTCCTGAAGGTGGTCTCCCAGTGCGCTGGCACTGACGGTGTCACAGCAGGTTACCTCAAGGAGCACGTGTTGGACGAGTTTTTCAAGAGTTTCTGGGTGAGGCGAATGGCTTTAGACAAGCGCAACTACAAGCAAGTCGTCGAGACGACTGTCGACATCGGTCAGAAGGTTGGAGCCAGCGAGATTCTGGAGAGAATCGTGGTGAATCTTCAAGACGAGAGCGAAGCCTACAGGAAGATGACGATCGAGACGGTCGAGAAGATTGTTGCCAGTTTGGGTGCGGCAGATATTGGCGAACGTCTCGAGGAGCGCTTGATTGACGGTATCCTGACCACGTTCAAGTCACAGACTGTGGAGGATATCGTTGTGCTGAACGGCTTTGGCTCCGTTGTCAACGCCCTCGGTACGCGCTGCAAGCCATACCTGCAGCAAATTTGCAGCGACATCCTGTGGCGACTCAACGACAAGTCTCCAACGGTGCGACAACAAGCAGCCGACCTAATTTCACGCATCGCTATGGTCATGAAGCAGTGCGGAGAGGACGCTATGATGGGCCGAATCGGTGTCGTGCTTTACGAATACCTGGGTGAAGAGTACCCTGAAGTTCTCGGATCTATCTTGGGTGCCCTGCGATCCATTGTCACGGTGGTCGGTATCTCCCAGATGCAGCCTCCTATCAAGGACCTGCTGCCTAGACTTACCCCTATCCTGCGCAACCGACACGAAAAGGTCCAGGAGAACACCATTGACTTGGTTGGTCGTATCGCTGATCGTGGGCCCGAGAGCGTCAACGCCCGCGAGTGGATGCGTATTTGCTTCGAGCTGCTCGACATGCTCAAAGCACACAAGAAGGGTATCCGTCGTGCGGCCAACAACACGTTCGGTTTCATCGCCAAGGCCATTGGTCCTCAGGATGTTCTTGCTACCCTGCTCAACAACCTTCGCGTCCAGGAGCGTCAGTCGCGTGTCAACACCGCCGTTGCTATTGGCATCGTCGCCGAGACTTGCGCGCCTTTCACGGTTCTTCCCGCGCTGATGAACGAGTACCGAGTGCCCGAGCTCAACGTCCAGAACGGTGTCCTCAAATCGCTGTCCTTCCTTTTCGAATACATTGGCGAGATGGCCAAGGATTACGTCTATGCCGTTACACCCCTTCTCGAAGACGCGCTCATCGACCGTGACCAAGTCCACCGTCAGACCGCCGCCTCGGTCGTCAAGCACATTGCGCTCGGCGTCGTCGGCCTCGGCTGTGAGGACGCCATGGTCCATCTCCTCAACCTACTCTACCCCAACCTCTTCGAGACCAGTCCACACGTCATTGACCGTATCATCGAGGCTATCGAGGCCATCCGCATGGCTGTCGGTCCGGGCGTCGTCCTCAACTACGTATGGGCAGGTCTCTTCCACCCAGCTCGCAAGGTTCGCCAACCATACTGGCGACTCTACAACGACGCCTACGTCCAGGGCGCCGATGCGATGGTGCCATACTACCCCAATCTCGACGAGGAGAAGGTCGACAGGCCGGAGCTGGCCATCATGTTGTAAGACAAGTGGACATCTCTAGACGAAGTGTGGAGGCACACGGAGGCAAGCGTGGGGTGACACGGGAGGTTGATTCATGGTTGGTTTCAAGGTTTTCTACGTACGATATCCAGACACAGATCGCGGCAGGGCGGGGGGGTGTTCCAATTTAGAGGGAGACAGCCCCGAGATGAGAGGATGAAAGGGAGGGGCAGCAGCGAGCAAGTAAGCACAGCTTGAAGCAAGCCGAGAATGGGAACTAAAAAGGGAACAACACTGAATAACGCGTGTTGTGTTGTGTTACGGGCGCAAGGTAGCCCATTGTACTGAGTCATAATACTCGATCGTGTAGACTTCTTGTAGTTGGTGGAGCATTACCAGCGGCGTTGGGCAGAATAATCACGAAAGGTTTTTTTTGAACAATTCATTTATACCTTCTATTCAGCGAGTATGCTTTCTCTCAAGTCACAATGTATCTTGGACATGTTGCTCTTGTACATGTGTTGTGTTGTGTTGTGTTGTGTTGTGTTGTGTGTATTTTGTACTATATGCCTCAAGTTGATAATGACTCAAGCGATGCTATATGGATCGTATATTGACTATAAAAGCAATGTAAAGTGGACTGATGGCATGGAGACGGCACCAACAACGAATCGGACCCGGGGCAACGCGTCTAGGATCTCACGATGTCTGCGTTGCAACAGAGAAAAAAAGTTGCGCGAGCGAGAGCGCGTGAGTTTCCTTCGGTTCGCATCGCAAATGGAGCCAGCCAGAAAAGTCTCGAAGAGTTAGTTGCAAGCCAACGGAGAGCCGAGAGAGTGCAACACCCGCAGCTGGCCGAGAGTCCCATCCATCCAGCCAGCCTCCTGTCCCCATCGTTCATCCCCGTTCT